TATGTACCCTGTGGGGCACAGCAAAAATTAGAGGAATTTCTAGATGGTAACCCTAAGTAACACACAAAGACCGGCGTGCGTTACAATGGTCGGATGGTAGTGATGGGGCGATTGGCTTAGTGGCCGATCCACCGGATCTGTTGCAAGTGTGGGTTCAATCTGACCTGATTACTTCACGTTAAAATAGTCTTCACCGGTCGTTAATTTGGCTAAAGCAATAAACACTGCTGTATTTAAATTACGCAGTTTAAATTTTTTAAAACGCTGATGATTATCTACCATCATTAAAACAAACGAAACCCCAATTAGGATGCATTATCACATCATTATTTGCATAATTTAGCATCATAAGTAGAGGGTTGGAATTCCAAGATTCGAAGATCTTTTCTTCCTAGATAGAAATACAAATTGAAAACCACTTTGTTGCCAGTTTAGTTAGGACTAGGCTTATACCAACCTTTAAAATGACTGGCTGAAAATAATTTGAATTCCGTCCTAGGGAGGGTACGTTAAAGCGTCAATTATGCCATGTAATATGTAAATCTATCTATTACAACTAGGGTTGCCAGATATAAACTTATGAAATCCGGGACAATTACTAGGACAACGCAACGGTGTCGGGTCCTAGCCATAGTAAAAAATATCTTGTTTCTTTTTTATATTTAGAAGAAAGAAGTAATTTTATAAGGACTAATTACTGGACACGGGACAAGATACGAAATTCCGGGACAATCCCGGATTTCCCGGGCAACCTGGCAACACTAAATACAGCTCATAAAACCTGGCACTTGAGCTGGTCTTACTCAGAACTCGTTACAAAACTAAAAGAAGAGTGTGAATTGGATTTTTCTATTACAGTTATAAAAGTGAAATCTTCCTCACTTTTAATTTTATTTTGTAGTGCACCAGCATCATTATGATCTTGAACCACCTCATTATCATTAGAACTCGTAAACCACAGAGTTACCTTTGCGACGGCAAATTACGTTGACGTTTTGGGGCAAAATAACAGAAAACCTCGACATTCGCGTTCACAGTGAGCAGCGGTTCATTAAAAAATAATGGCACCCACATCCTGAACCTCGAGATTGGAAGATTACTGCTTGAAATAAGAATTTTGGGTAAGTAGGTTTCAGAGATGACAAAGAAAGCAAGCAGCAAGAAAGGACATTGTCAGAAACCGCCTTAGATTCCTGGGCACAGCAGTAAAGTATCAAAATTAATCTCTTACTTTTTGAATACTTAAATATTAATTAGATTGTAACGGACACTTGAGGATTAAAAAATGAAATAATAAAAGTATTTTATATGTATTCCATAATACTATGACGACATCCGGACATTTTAGGGCGTGGCCTGCTCCATATCCTATGAAGTTCCATAATTTGTGTCGATAAAATCTATGTAAAATTGGCACAAGGCAATGCCTTACTTCATTGTTAGGAATCCATGTAATAGTGATGTTGACTGCGGTCATCATAGACAATAAGATACCGATCTTGTAAATAAAATAAATCGTCCAAATTGCTACAGTATTGTGGTTCGCGCATTTCATGAAAAGTTACTTCGGTGCACATCATTTAGACCGCGTGAGCTAGAATTATTTCAACACCCTGAACTGATTGAACCTGTACCTAAAAATGAGACGCACCTTCAAGTAATTTATGACGGTGACGTGGGATTAGTGGGGCACTGGAGTTGTATTTATTACATTAATGGAATACTGCGTGTGTACGATAGTCTTGTTGGTGTTCTAGGAAAATCGCAAAAAATATATGTAAAAGCCTTGTTTCCGTATCTATCGGAGTCATGTATTCAGTTTCCAAGTGTTCAGCGACAACCGAATACTATTGATTGTGGTTTGTTTGCCATTGCTTTTGCCACCTCTTTAGCTCGGAATATTTATAAATACATATATAAAATTAATATTCATACATAAAAGTACAAGGCAAAATATCGGGAGAGTTTAGGCTCCATTCACCAGGTGTATAAATTGACATAATAAGTTTATTATATTTGCTGCTACGGAACCCTTTGTGCGCGAGCCCGACTCGCACTTGGCCGGTTTTCAAATAATAATTAAACACGTAAATAAAGTTATTTCTTTTCTTTGACATTAATGACGTTTTAAAAGCAGATGGCTATATCAATAAACCCGTCTCGCTCTACTTACTTATACAGTGTGTCCGGGCATGTAGTGATCAAACTTTAAGGGCGTAATCTATGGACAATTTAATCGGTGAAAATACTTTAAATTTGGGGCTTGACCCATTTCTCGCATATTTACAAGGATATAAGTTTTTAATTTTAAGTTTTCACCTCTTCCTTCAAAAACAAGTGATAGCGTGGGTAGTTTAACATTAATAAGCCTAAATTTTATATCATGCGATAGCCTATAAAATTATCTATTAGTAGAAGTAGAAAACAGATACAAGCTTCATACATTTTAAGGGTGTAAGAATGGATTTAATTGGAAATAAACATGATTTTTTTCACATCTTTTTCAGTTATTTCCCAACACAAGAAAAACCAGGTCGTTATGGTATGTTTTATTTGCATTGTATTATTAGTATTTGAGCTATTCTACAAAACGAATGTAAATTTATTAGTCTACGTCTATTATTTTCGACGTAATTGTTGAACAAAGATACCCCTTCCCAGCGGTTTCCATAGCGCACGCGACATGCGAAAATGCACTGCCTGAAAGAATCACACAACCTATTCCGATAACTATGGAAACCGCTGGGAAGGGGTATCTTTGTTCAACAATTACGTTGAAACTAATAGACGTAGACTAATAAATTTACATTAGTTTTGTAGAATGACTCAAATACTAATAATACAATGCAAATAAAATATACCTTTACGACCTGGTTTTTCTTGTGTTGGGAAATAACTGAAAAAGATGTGAAAAAAATCATGTTTATTTCTAATTAAATCCATTCTTACTCCCTTAAAATGTATGAAACTTGTGTCTGTTTTCTACTTCTACTAGTAGATAATTTTATTGGCTATCGCATGATATAAAATATTTGCTTATTAATGTTAAGTTACCCACGCTATCACTTGTTTTTGAAGGAGGAGGTGAAAACTTAAAATTAAAAACTTAAATCCTTGTAAATATGCGAGAAATGGGTCAAGCCCCAAATTTAAAGTATTTTCACCGATAAAATTGTCCATAGATTACGCCCTTAAAGTTTGATCACTACATGCCCGGACACACTGTATACATTTTATTAACAAGCTCGATATTATGTTACGAAGCAATTAATAAGTATTTGAAATTATAATCAAAGAAATCTTGCACGTTCCTGATAAAAATTACTGATACATTCCTAAAAATACTTTAAACAAAATTTTGAGATTTCTTTTTTATTTACCCTTAAAAGATGAGTATGAATTAAGCAGTCTAAGTTATCACAAATCTATCCCTGATACATTGTAATGTTCACAAATGAACAAATAAATACAAATAAACAATTAAATTATACGCCAATTGAAAAAAAAAAACGCTCTACTCTTTCGATACGATAAAAATTACCTTTACACCATTATGTTTTATTTATAATTTAGAAAATACTTTTTATAAGTAACTTGATCTACTACCGCCAATTTATGTTATTTTCTAGACTGACTAGTTGGTATTATTTAACTTACAAGTTCAGCTTGTTACATAGAGCAGTACATATGTTTTATAAATATGCATTACGATCATAGTTACATCTATGATATAAAAGCTTCATACAGACTCGTATTGTAACATTTTAGTTTTAACAAACTAGATAACTATTGGGGCCAGAATTCCAATCGCCAGATAATCTTAACATGTAAGTTGATTGGTACATCATTAGTAAAAGAAAAAACTCCAAAGTAGATCTAAGAGCATCGTACTACATTAAACAATGTAAAAAATATTTTAACTGATCTCACTTATAAAATATTCGATTAATAATTTGTTCCAGTCAAAAATAATTTTATTCATAAACAATATTCGAGTAAATATAAAATATGAGATCAGTTTATTAATAAGACAGATTCGGAAGACTTCATAAATTCACAATGCAGGTACAACTTGTTGTGTGACGATATAATTTAAACTATTATACTTAATAAAGTTTTATTATTAAAAAAAATCTTTTGCACATGACATGCATATTATAAAAACTTCACAATTTCGATACCTACATTACATCACAAAGCAATTATTTCCATGAATTTTAAATGCTGAGTTTCATAATTTTTTATTGCAGATCTGTCTTAGTGGAGTGGAATATGCATGATAAATTATTGAAAAACTGATTTTAATGCGAAACTAAAACGTTACCGCCAAAATGGTCGTTTTTATTAAACGTAAAACATAAAGGACAATGACCAAAAATGTATGGAGTGTGGTCCAAATGTCCACCACTAACGAGACCTATGTAGTAAAATAGTCTACTTAATACTGATTCATTATAACCAAACCGCAATCAAAAATATGCTGTCAGTAAAAAGTTATGACTGAATGAAAAGTCTGTTTTTTACCTTTTCATCCGAAAAATGTTCTTGATATCATTCTATCCATTGCACATTTTGGACTAATCTACGCATGTTATGTCATGTCGCATGTGGCGCGGGATTATAGATGAATTTTATTAAATATTATACTAACTGTGCCTACGACTTTGTACGCGTGAAAATGGTTTGAATAATATTTCCCATTTTTACAACATTTGTCTTTACTGCTCCGCCCCTATTGGTTGTAGGGTGATGTTATTTATCTTAAAACCATCCTTAATAAATAGGCTATCCATAACAAAAATAATTTTTCAAATCGGACCAGTAGTTCCTGAGATTAGCGCGTAAACTACTACAATTTTTAAACAGTCATAACTTTTTACTGACAGCTTATTTTTTTTTCGTCCCATACTGAAAGTTAATCTCTATTTAAAGGACTATAAGCCAATATAGGTCTCATTGGTGGTGGACATTTGGACCACTTTTGGTCATTGTCCTTTTGATCAGTAAGAGAGGCAGACATACCTAATTAAGCACTGGAATAATTATGTACACTATAGCACCTTAAGTAGTAATAAAATGTGCAATTTTTTAACTAAAATGGTTAATTTTATTACAGAGGTTGTCTGAATGATGTAAGGTTACACCAATGTTTAAGATTTAATTTTAAATTGCAATATGTTTATGATCTAATGATATTAACTCCTAGATAAGTCTTTATTTAAGCTTGAAACGATGCGTTTATTAAAAATAGGAAAAATGTAATGAATGACATGAATAAATTCATAATATTCAAGTTATAACAGTAAGCCTAGCCGCAAACTACAGACTTTTTGTCGGCCGATAATTTCGTCGCACAGTGTCCGCTTCTAAGGCAATATCACACAGTGTGCGTCGGGCTGTTAATCAGTATGGAGAAGTATGAAAGTGCGAACATTGGTATCGGGCGATTCTTCATACAAATTAGAATCGGGCCCAGCTATCGGCCGACAAAACTGTAGTCTGCAGAAAGTCTAAAGAATAACAACTCATACATACCGGAGTTTACGTCTCCTCAATGTTGGGGTTTTCCGAAAACAGTTGGTGGTCGTTGTAGGTTCGCAGGTACTTCTTGGTGGTCCAGTACAGCATGAGGCCCCACTTCATCATCATGAAAGACCACACTATCCGGATGATGATGCTGGATTGGATCGGCATTACGTCTGAAAGGAAAAAAATATGAAAACCTTTTGGTTTTACGATAAGCATTGATGCTTTTTGAAATGGCAATGCCAGATTTTGTATGGAAGGTGGCGTCTTTTTTTTTTCGCGCGGCCATCTACCAAACCTTGTTTTTTGATTACAAAATAGTGNTCTGAACATAGTGTAATAAACCAAACTTACTATAACAATATGTATTACGTCTAAACTCAGTCTGAACTGAGTTACGAGCGTTACAAGTTTGATGAGTTTACATATTAGGTTTGCCATTTGCGCGCAAGTTTTGTAAGAAATTGCAACAAAATAGTGACATTGTATGTGTAAACAAACAATACCATCTTATAGGCTCCAGCCATCAGTGTGGAGCAGAATCAGAGCAATAAAAAAGACGCCAATTTCCGACATTGTCTTTTGTGGAGTCTAAAGTTTCTGAAAGTTCACTATCCAAAATTGTTAAAATATGCGAAAGACGTTAATTTTTAAGCTTAATTCACTGGATGGGATTTGAGAAATATTGGTTAAAGTTAAAATCTGGAAGAAAGATACAGCAAGCTTTTTCGCACGACCGTTTTTTCCATTGCTGATTAACACTTTTTGTGGCAAAGCAAAATCGACGGACGAACTCGTGCAAAAGCTGATTAGGCTAGCATTTTTTTTAAAATTTGTAACAATCCAAATAATCATCGGAAAATTGGGGAAATATCTGTCGGGTCAGCTCAGTCTTGTGTCGCTATGCTAGTTATACCAAATTATAAAAACATTGAAAGCATTAAGAGTTGAGTTGAGGCGCTATGCCACGTCGAGTGTTTGCGGGCAATGTGGCTTGGCACGTCAATTTTGCCACCACTTCGCTACGCACCTCGAAGATGGCGTAATTGCAGCGTGCCTCGTACGTAAAGTGTTAATAGGCCGTTTGCGCTACCGTAGCCTGATGATTAGATAATGGGACTCACGATCCGGCGTTCATGGGTTCGATTCCCAAGTTATATTGAAATGTGAATTTTTGCTAGTAGGTACCTTCTTTGCAGGCTTGAATCAACACGATTATCTTGAAAACAATTTGTTTATTTCAGAGGGGAGGGTGAGCAGTTTTATATCAGCTCTTATGGATGGCGGCTTACAGACCTCGGTTGTTACACAAGCCGGTCGATAATGCCTCAATAGTGCGTATTCGACGCACACTGGTTTCGATGTCGAGTGTTTAGAGACTCGTTTGACGTATGCAGAATGATGAAAAAAATCTTCTATTCTACATTGAGTAGGAATGATATCAGTGATCAGATGATGGCAGTGGCAGCGGGGCACATAGCTCGCAGAGCTGATGGCCGCTGGGGCAGAAAAGTTCTCGAGTGGCGACCACGAGCCGGAAGACGTAGTGTGGGCAGGCTTCCCATTAGGTAGACCGACGATTTGGTGAAGGTCGCGGGAGGTGCCTGGATGCAGGCGGCGCAGGACTGGTTTTTGTGGAAATCCTTGGGGAAGGCCTTTGTCTAAGCAGTGGGCGTCATTCTGCTGAAACCGACGAACGAACGAGGAATATCACTGTATTTTCTACTTTAGATGGTTTGTGGCAAATGAGTCCAACAAAATGCTACTAGCACCGCGCGGCGTGGAGTGGTATGAGTAGAACCTTCCCTGAACCAGTGGGTAGGTATCCCTTTTCACGCATCTCCTGAAGATTCATTTCAAAGCGATAGCATTTCGCGATGGCGTTTTGTCAGCGTATTTATATTAGCAACCCATTTGTCTTGCTTATTAAGATATTATGTACAACTTCCTCTATTTAAATAGTAGCACCCTTCTTACATTCCTTTATCTAGGCTCAAATTTTTTTACAAATCTAGCTCTAATATAAATGATAAAATATGAGTAGGTTATTAAGGTTATCGACATTGTTTTTAATTCATATTTGAGAGCCATTTATTATCTTTAAAAGGAAATTTAAGTAAATAGCAGGTTGTCGACTTTTTATTATTAAGGTCAACACTAATGTGTATGACAAACAATGTAAAGCAATAATCAAAACATGTGACTTCTTATCTAATAAATAATGTAATTCAAGCATAATATTATATTGCTGTGACATATTACTAGGTACCTACTTTAAAGAAATGAGATAATGGACATAATAATGATTAAACTTTACAACAAAACAGTAAGAGAATTTTGTATCTATTTGTAACAATTAGATTTTTCAAGTTTATCTTACTTTATTTTTGTATTACTTCTTACTTAATAATAAATATCTAATAAGAATATAAAGCAGGTTGCTGTGGGAATCCTTTGAGGAAGAATAAAATAAATTAAAGTACTTTACCTGTTTTGTAATAGCTCTCCAAAAATATGTAGAATAAGGTAAGCGCCGTGCCAGAGACAAAGCCAATCATGCCGAAGTCTCCGATGTACTGGAGAGCTTTACGGGAGAAGTTCACATGCAGAGATTCCTTTAGGTAGTGGCAATGCAGCATCAGAGCCAGTGATGCATGGATACCTGTGAATAAACATAAACATTCAAAGTTTAAGTATTTAGGCAGTACATTTTAATCAAACTTCTTGTGTAACTGAAGGAGTTACCACAAGGACCACTTATGATAAAATCTGAATAAGCTTAAGCTTAGCAAATGGCGACACAATCTTATTTCAAGACAATAGGCACCCATTAATGTATTTAATATGGAAAACTAGGTACAAGTTTGTTGTTTTATACTTTTTTCTGGATAATCCACTTTAAGTTCAAGTGAAAGGACTTGTGTTATTTACCTAGACTGCCTGCAAGTGCATTGATCCTTGAAGGTCATCATTATTCCGTCCATTTAAAACAATGTAATATGAAATTATATTGAGCTACTTACCCGATAACAACGCCCACATGCCTGCCTCAACATTTGCGTAGACCAGGCAGAAACATATAAATGCAGATACGCCTAAAATTGCACCGATGGCACTCAGAACAATATGAATTTTTGTGCGCAACATTTTGGCACCAAAATTATACTCTTTGTTTTTAGCTATGCGGAACACTCGCAAACTTATAATATTGTGATGACAAAAAATCAAAACGTAATCACCACAAAAGTGTAATCTTACGAACTACGAGATGAAAAGCTTGCAATTAATTAGTGGAAAAGTTTGTCAACAATACGCGGTCAACAACAAAAACGTCTTTTTCGACGTTTCGGTTTCTGACATTTGGACGGACAGGACAGCCCAGTGTTGCCAGTCGGGTCTAGTCAGAAATTACCAGAAATATAAAAAAAAGTAACCTTTTTGAACAAAAAGTAACCTTTATACGGGGGGATAAAAACGTTTCATGGATTTGCGTTTTATTATCGAAAAACATTCGCTAAAACTCATTTTTCTTAAATAATAAATCAAATTCAAGTTTAAATGCACTTTATGACATAATTTTTAAATTGTCACTATTAATATTTTTTACTGAATAACCTGTAAAGTTAATTCTACAATTTCTGAAAAATCACCTAAAAGTAACCTTTTCCTTCTGGCAACACTGGGACAGCCAGCTGACAAGATGTGACCATAGAGCCAAGACATCCATCCATCTTAGAGATTTTCAATGGAGACGACATCGATGAAATAGTCAGTTGGTATATTTTTTATTAACAAAAAATATCATTTTTATGAGGATAAAACATTTTTACATCCAAAAATAATCATTTTCTGGGTAAAAATTGTTTAGAACTACTGACTGGCTAGGCTACTGCCAGTTATTTATGGAAACTATGTCTTTTAGACGTCTCCACTTTCAATGAATAATCCTCTGTGATGATGACACTTTGACATATGCCTAGAAAATGACATTTACAATAAGTCGTTAAAATAACAAAAGTTGTTGTTTGGTTGGAAAATCGTGCAATGGGATGAAAAAGAAAGCTATCCCTAGAATTGATTTATAAAATTGGTAATGCCTCGATAACTTTGACAGTGTGAGTTGCGGTGAAAGCTTTTGGTTGGGTCAATATAGGTCTACCACCGCTTAACGTAGGATTACAATGAGTAGCACTAGAGGTAGGGTCATCCCAGCGCAAATGAAGAAGTTGTTGGATTTGTTGAGTGAAGATGGAGTGCTTCTACACGGGAAAGTCATGTATACGTACACTACTAAACAGTGCTTCTGGAAACGTATCGCCACCCAGCTGAACTCCGTTGATGGTGGCGTTTATAAGAACACTTGGAAATGGTGCAAGGTACAATGACTAGTTTACCCAACTCAATTTATTTATTTATTATCTAGTAGCTATAGCAGGAAACTCTGTAAGAAATCATCTTGTCTTTCAGATGTGGACGGACTGGAAAACAAAAACTAAGAAGAAAGCAAATATACTTCTGAAACGTAAACAGTATGATTGTGAACAACCAGTTTCAGCGTTAACCAATCTTGAATTAAGATTATTGAAACTAATAGAATACCCTGTGGATGACCTGCCAGAGCATCAGCAGTTTGGAGTTGTAAAAAAATTTTTACTGTAGATCTGTTGAAGTAAATTGTTAAATTCGAATTCTAAAACTATTTTTCACTTACAGACAGTGAGTAAAGAATACTTATCAGACAATGCGGACCCAGAAGTTGAATGCATGATTTTCAATGAAGATGAAAACGGTGAACAGGACCTGGAAGATGAAAGTAGTCAACAGGGCCACACAAATAGAAATGAAACCCAATTTTACAGTGTTAATATGCCTAATGGTAATTTAATGTTAAAATTATTTAATTAACATTGGCAACAGTCTATAAATTGCCTAATATCAAAAGAATTAAAAAAGATAGGTATGAGTAAATAAATAATTCATAACTCTTGTTTGTAGTTGCAGATAACTCAAAGGAAAAGTTTGAAGATTCTTCAGGATCAGACACAAATAGTAAAAGTGGTATGTATTTATAAGTGTTCAACCCCATTCCCTTGATATTGTTATACTTCCCTGATGTAGGACATAAAATATACCTTCTTATTTATGTTTTAGAGAGATTCTTTACAAGTAGAATAAGATTACAGGACCTAAAGAAAGTGATGCCTAAAGATAAAGTACAAAAAAGTGAGGAACTCCGTTTAAAAGCCTTAGAACTGAAGCTGAAAGGAGAAGAACTGAGACTGAAAGAGATGGAAATGAACAAAATTAATTATTTGACGAATATTGAAGAGGAAAAGTTGAAATGTTTCAGAGATATATCAACATCATTGAAGGAGTAAGGATTCTGATAAATATAAAGTGAATGAAACATATTGCATTTTGGATCTGCCATTACATAATTGATTTTTTTCCTTTCAGATTGGTAGAACATGCAAGAAATGGGAATATTCGGTTTAATAATGCTGTTTAGTTGAGAATACATTGTATTATTTTTTATTATGGACGCAGGCCGCTACCAACCGGGTAACATGGAAAGCATTGGGGGAGGCCTATGTTCAGCAGTGGACGTCCTATGGCTGAGATGATGATGATTTTTTATTATCAAGCTTTATGTTCCTGTGGCAAAGGAAAATTGTGAGTTTAAGCACAAGACTGTGGTATTGTTACAAGATTTTTATTGTTAAGTTAAATACTATGGAATTTGTAGATATTATATGCAATCAGAAAGACAAATAAATAATATTCCATTTATTTTATTGAGTGATTTTTATTATTACTATTTTATAAGTTTAAACTTTCAACAAAATAACCTTTTTTAAAGAAACATAACTTTTAAGGTAATGTAGGAAAAGGAGATGTGAAGAAAATATTTTAAAATTATGAGAAGACAATATTTTAAAATGCATTGACTTAAATTAACATCATGGTTGAGGCTATTGGCATAACATTATGGTGATACAACCATGGTACCTTTAATAATATCACTAATAATAAGGACGAAAACATTCTTAAAGTAATAATATAGGACTAAGTTTTAATAAAATAAAAACAATAATGCATAACTATTTGGGTACCTAGGTAGGTACTTTCATAGCTGATACATAAACACCTCTGTATAAAAATTATGCAATTAAAACCAGGAAAATATTGGCATGCTTGTAAAATAAAGAGATATTACATATTATAATCTTTCAGACAACAGTATAAATTCTAACATACAATATTAAATTGACACCCACAAGTTAAATTTTAACAATTTTGTAAAATATTTACGTAATTTCGAAAACAATATTAAACTCAGCTTAATTTTATGTAACAATATAAACATTTATTTACAAAACAATGTGCCTACAAGAAGTTTAGGTTACAAAAAGAAATGCAAGTTAAATATTAACCCAATTTCCCGTGTTGATACTTAAAAGTTAAATATGTGGCTGCTCTTTGCAGCAAGTTAAAAATGTAACGTGCTAAAGACAAAATCAAACTTATCGAAAATCTTTCAAAAGTTTCAAATAATTAGGTTTTAGTTTGCTTAACGTAGTGGCATCTAATTCAGCTAACCTGTGTATCCGTAGATGGCTCTTCATGTTGCCCCTTTGTGCGTAGCCTCGTCCACAAATGGGGCACTTGAAGGGGGTCTCACCTGTGTGGAGACGCATGTGCTCCTTCAAATAGTCTTCATGGTAGAAACTTGAACCACATACAGTACATTCTGCTGGTCTTTGACCTGTAATAATAAAGAGAATGAAAATGTTTATTTCGTTAACAAACAATCAAACAGAATTTGAGGTGGACTCTTATCTTTAAGTGCAAAGAGAAATAAATACATATTTTTGTCTTTGCTGCCACCTATTTAGCAATAATAATCCAATTAGGTATACATTTCCTATTTTCATTCTTCAGGTTTTAGTAACAGAACATTGCTAATGTATTTATTATAGAGCACTTCACCTAAATTCGTTTATTTATACAGGAAAATGTGAGTTAGACAGTTTTCATTTATAATATTAATTTGTATTCAACTTACCTGTATGAACAGATCTCTCATGTATTATAATAGATTTAGCACATTTATATGTCTTGTCACAAAATTTACATGCAAACATCTTCTTTTTCATTAGATGTTTCTCATGAACTATTCTCTGGTGGTTGCTCAGCTCCCCTTTGAATGCAAACCTACGTCCACACGTCGCACATATAAAGTTCTTTTCTGTATCATGCCTCCTTTTTATATGTCTCTTTAAATAGTATTCTGATACACACATTCTAGAACACTGTGGACATGATACAGGGTTTTTGAAATGCACTTTTCTTTTGTGAATGGCCAGTTTGTCTTGGTTCTTGAACACTTCTCCACAGATATCACACAATTTTGGTGGATTAGGTTTTTTTATTTTTGGCAATTTAAGTTTTATCTCCCGGGGCTGTGTACCTTGGTTTGGGATTTTCTTTTTGACTTTACTTTCTTGTTCTAAAGTTGACTGAAGGGAGTTGGATTTTAAACTGAAATTCAAATTTTTAGTTTAGTGTTAATTGAATACTTTCAGACAGTAGGTAGAAGAAGTAATTTTTTGAACACCAAAAGAGGCATTCTTTAAGTAAAATATAAATGGAAATATCCAGTTGGTTTAAAATTGGAAATTCTAGTAGGGGAAAGAAGATAATATAACACAAATATTACCACCATTTATCACCAGTCCATGTGAATTCACCTTCTAGCAATGAAGATGCAATCTTATTGGTTTTGTTTTTCGACAGAGTTTTGCTTGTCGATGTTTTAGTCTTTTTTATTGTGAGCTCTTTAGAGTCTATCTTCAGCTTCAACGGCTTTATCAAGTCTATAAGGCATACATTATCATATTTATCATCAAAACCGTCTTCAAATTCTACTTCAGGTTCAGTTTTAATGTTTTTAATTTCGATTTCTACCTCTGAATAGTGGTCACTGTAGACATGTGTATCATCATTCTCATTTTTCACAATAAGTAATCCACTTTGTAGTATTTTACTTGATTCTTTATACTTATTGATAAAGTTTATAACTGTTTCCAACGTGTCGTTGCATAGCGAACAAATCTTCCTAGGGAAACCATCAACGTCTTCTATCTGTAATTGCAAAACAATTATGTTATAAAAACAAGAAATTAAGCTACTCGGAGTAAACAATTCGCTTATGATATTACCTTCTCCTTCATACACCGTGATAGTTTGGAAAATATACTGTCTCCGATATCATTTTTAGAATCAAAAATTGGATAAATTGCTCCATCTTCCAGACAAACTCGACACAGAGTTGACGAATTTTCGGGATCCATAATTTAATGTTTCTACTATTCAAAATATTTCAAGTCGTTTATTATTAAAAACGTTTTGTTGCCTATACTAAATTCTATAAATTATTCACATTCATTTTGACCGCATCCACTTTAAATCCATAATTTTAATAATTAAAATTTCGCCATTGTTGTTTTATTAACAAATGTCAATATTTTTTGACATTTTGTTTTTTTTTCTATTCGATCATATTTTAACGTTTTATCTTTTGGGAATCTAGTTTCCGCACGAAACATTTTACTTTTTTTCTTGAGAGATCACAAGACCAGCCATAGACAATTTTGTTTTATCATCTATTGCTGTCATCAGGTGATCGGGATTGTGAGCTAAAAATCCTGAATTTGGGATAAAACGCAAATAAATCTTTACTAAAAATGTCAGGAAAAGATAGATTAGCGATTTTCCCTTCTCGGGGGTGAGTATTACTAGAAAATAACTTTCTTTTACTTGAGAAACTCTTTATAAAATTTGGTAAAATGTTTTGGGTTGGGTTCAATTGGTTCATGGATTATTTTCTGGTTCTAGTGCTCAGATGTTGATCAAAGCTCGTTTGGCTGGAGCACAAAAAGGCCATGGACTCTTGAAGAAGAAGGCTGATGCCTTACAAGTCAGGTTTCGTATGATCCTGAGCAAAATTATTGAGGTAAGTTTAGCACCTTTTGGTATCTATGCTGATAGCAATAAATTGTCTCATAAATTTTTTTCCACTATTGATAATAATTTTGACTTTATATACTCACAATTCTATGAATTATTCTTGAATATAAGTTCTTAATTGTTATGAGAAAAACTATTAATATGCTTAAATAGAAACCGTAACCTTGGAAATTTTTAAAAATCTTTGAATTTGAGATAATTCTTATAATTATATTTACAGACAAAAACCCTTATGGGTGAAGTGATGAAAGAAGCTGCGTTTTCACTGGCCGAAGCTAAGTTTACGACTGGTGACTTCAATCAAGTGGTGCTACAGAACGTCACTAAGGCTCAGATCAAGATCCGCTCCAAAAAAGACAATGTTGCTGGTATGTGCTTTGTTCTCTACTTAAAAGATTCAAAGATTATTTATTCACCGAGATAATGTGGTACAATAAAATATGTGGTCTTAAATTAAAAAGAGGTGCAGCTTATCTCACCAGCGTAGCTGGCATGTGAATTTGTGCATAAAAAATCATTATTATAAATTACAATTACAATTATAATTATTATATAGCTATGTCAATAATTCAATTAGTTATTCAATAATATTAATTATAATAATCTTACTTCAATAAATTAAATTAGATGTCAAATTGTTTATTGTAATTTACATGTCAAATAATCCTTAACTGAATAAAAACATTTTTCACATAACAAATTATACGGATTACTAATGTTTGGCCAAAAAACGTTTCCCAAATTATCACATCGCAAACAACGTTTCGCAAATTTTCATTTGGCAAAGCAACTTATTGCAAACTTTTAATTCGCAAATGTTTTTTTTGGCATATTATTGTTTAGCAAATTATTGTTTGGCAAAGTATGGTTTGCCAAATGTTTCATTTGGCAAAAATATTTCACGATAAACTATTTACAAAATAATTTGATTGGTGCATAGAATGGTATACAAATTAGCTTGTGGTTATTATTTTGTTTAGTGGGGAGTTAATATAAAATTTGTTCTACATTAATTTCCTTATTTCATTCTTTTTATCGAAATTTCCAAATGATTCATTAACAATAGAGGTGATTCTAGCGCTCGGCGGCCGCTGCCGCGGCACGCTTCGCTCGCCTTCGCGCATTAAGGGTCACTGTTCTAACCTAACCTAACCTACTATTTTCTGCAATACCTACTTTTTGCAACCATACTATTTTCTGCAATGTTTTACATAAAATTATTGTGAAAACCATGATCATGTGCCTTATGCTTTGATTTGTGGGTAACGGTGGGTAAGTATGTGAAGTGTCAATTTGACCAAACAAATTATTTGGGATATAATATTTGGCAACATAAAACATTTGCTATATAAACATTTGCCAAGTAAAATTTGGCCAAATGATAATTTGACCAAATGAATTAGTTGCGAAAAGTACAGTTGCTAAAAGTTCATTTGGGAAATGAAACTTTGGCGATAAGTTGTTTGCGAAGTGAAATTTGGCGAAAAGTAATTTGGCCAAACGGAAGGATACCAAATTATACAGTTTCTTATTAAACAGATTTCCATTATTCCATAAAAGGAAGTTTTCTTTCGTCTTCTACTTCTTCTTTGTGTTTGCAATAGTAATTGTGATTTTAAATGGGTAATTTATTAGTGTGATATTTTCTAACACTACACTTTTTTTGAGATTCTTTATTCTAATCCTTGTTAATCAAACAAAGAAATTAATTTTGATAATTAATAACAAGTAAAAGAAGATGAATGAGACAGTAAAAATATTCTTCATGGCCAATTACAGGTGTTACACTCCCAATCTTCGAGTCGTACCAGGATGGTTCAGACACATATGAACTGGCCGGATTGGCTCGTGGTGGTCAACAACTGGCCAAGCTGAAGAAGAACTTCCAGAGTGCTGTCAAACTGCTAGTAGAGCTGGCTTCGTTGCAGACCTCATTCGTGACCCTGGATGAGGTCATCAAGATCACCAACAGGCGTGTGAATGCTATTGAGCACGGTAAGAAAAGCATAACTTATCAAAATGTTTTTGCTGTTCAGCAGAGTAGAATTTTTTTTTGTTAGATATAAGAATCTAAATATACATAGCCGAAATAGATTTTATTTGCTATGTTTGCATTGCAATAAAGATGCGATTGTAGTATTCTAAACACAAAATAATTCTAGTTTTGTTTTGAAATTTGGTGCATCAGTTATAATAAATTATTCGTCGCCAATGCCTCAAAGGGGCGAATTTTTTTAACTATACAAGTGAGCAAAAAACGACATATTGCCTGAAGAATGGAGCATTCTGTATACTTAGCAAAATTTTTGACCGTTTGTGTGATGTTCGCCCCTTTGAGATGTAGGCGACGAATTATGTCACTATACTGCAGTGGTATTCTTCTTTTCGGTTAGCAATAAATTGATCGAGAGGTCTCTGGTTTAAAGCCAATTGATTGCTATTGTGAGGAACAAACAAGTGATTGCAAAACTGTAAAGCAGTAGGGTTACTGCAGTATCTCATGAGTGAAGCGATGCTAATTTGGCGACTTTCTGTCGACGATCCCAGATATCGATTCCAAAGCAACATGGTTCATAATGTACTTAACTACTAGACTAGAGAATGCTTTTAGTTTTATCTTGGGCTAAGTTTTTATGCAGTAATAAAATTATTCTTATCTAGGTTTGTATTTGGAAGATTTTTTTGTTGTGACACAGGAATTTTGTGTGTATCTTTTACAAATACCTGTTTATCGTTTGCAGTGATCATCCCACGACTGGAGCGCACCCTAGCGTACATTATCTCCGAGCTTGACGAGCTGGAGCGTGAGGAGTTCTACCGGCTGAAGAAGATCCAGGACAAGAAAAAGATCATCAAGGATAAGGCAGAAGCTGTAAGTTGCATGTCGCTTATCATTGATCTACTTATTTCCATTGGTTTCAGAATTAATCTGTTCTATTCATTTGGGGTATAGGGACATTGGGGTCGATTCTGAGATTGAAGCTTAGTTTCTATTCCTTAGAGATAGGAGAGTGGACAATATCTCTGAAATAAAGCTCAGTTTCTTCTTCTTTAGAGATTGGAGAGTAGACAATATCTATGACTTTTCAAACTTTACATAAAGAAACATGTTGATATTGTGTTAGAAGAATAGGAATGACTTCATTAATTCTCGGAATTGGGCCCTTTGATTAACTTTTAGATACTTTCGCTTGAAACATTATTATAACTTTAACATTGTGGATGGTGAAGCAATTAATCTGTTACCTCTACTCTACAGACAAAATATTACTTTTTTACAGATTATTATATTTAACCTGGGTTCTATCTATTTTATGTCTTCCTACAGCTGGCTAAGTTTATTATGCATGATTGATAACTTATATAAGTTCGCATTGTTTTAAGTAGAATCATAATTTTGCATTTTTTATTGCGTTTATTTCGCCAACTTAACAGGATTGAAGATCTCGGAAGCACTCACACACGAGCCTAAATAAATTAGTTCATGTTAAAAAATGTTGAGGCGATATTTCATATCACATTCATGTCACTAAGCTTCGTGCTATTTATTTATCGTGTCTGACAAAAATAATAATCCAACACAGACACTGGCTGCGAAAAAAGGAACTATGGCCAAAAAGTATAAACCAATGCCCTAAAATATTAAAAAAAAAAAACAAAAAGTACCAATAAAAAAAGAAGCGCGCATATCTCTGATATGAAAATCAGCTGATAGAAACGGAAGACTTGGCACTTGGCTGTACGGCAACGCCTTTGCCTTTTTATAAAAAAAAAATCGAACCAAAAAAGAAAATGCTGACCGGCCATTGTTGTGGTTTGCAGAAAAAAGCCGCCCTCCGGCTGGCTGAGAGTGACGTGCGCGGTATAGCCAACCTCCTCGATGAGGGTGACGAAGACCTGCTGTTCTAGGCCGCTCGTGCGGTGTCGTGGTAGGTACTGCCCGGCCGGTGCACTTGTGATTTGGGAGTTTTGGCGGGTTTTATCGGCGTAGTAGGATTTAGGGTTAATGAAATGTAATATTTGGTTAATAAAGATTGCAAATTATTTGTTAAAATCCGTACTCGGTAACTACCATTGCATTACCGAGATTTAAATTACATTTATTTTGCTATCAATAAAAATCTAATAAAAACTAAAAAATATGTTGATAGTGTTGCCCCTCTGGACTTCATACCTAATTTCAATATTTTTTATTTGAAATAGTGTAGCCCAGTGACAGACTTGATAGCTTTAATTGGCGCCCTTGTGGTAAGAATCTAAAAATAAATTTTCCTTTTGATTTAGCAGTTCAAAATTTAAAGTTAGTAGACAAACATTCTTTAATTGGACAATAAACGGTGTTTTTCACGAAAACTGTAAGTTGAAGTTTTTCTCGAGAACTCTAGCCCTACATAAATTATATGTCAGAAAAATGTCTTTTAAACCTGAGGATAGCCGTATAGAATCGCCATTATTTCACAATCACAAGGCACGGCCGGGTAGTTTAAGCAGACCAACGCTTTCAGAGCACAGCTCTGCCTCACTCGACCACTCGCCTCAATTTGCCTCAATCTGCCTCAATCTTGTGTCGTCACGTCGCACCTACATCCCTCTCTCTCTCTCTCATTCGTCATCAGGTTTCACCAAAACTGATCATTCGCATCGTTCATTTTGGGTTTCTGGTTTTTCTGTCTCTGGTTGAGGATGTCGTGTCTAATTCATTTTACTAAAACTTCAGTTTTTTACTAATTAATTAATTATTCACAGGTTTGTAATTATTATGTTGTTTTGTTTCGTTTGAAATAATAAGACTAGGCGCAGGCCACCGATTTTTAGTTGGCCGATAGTTGTGCCCGATTTTAAATTGTATGAAGAATCGGCCAAATCAAATCGGTGTAATGAGCGCACTTCCATACATGCCCATACTGATCAACTGCCCGACTCAACTATCGGCCGACGAAAAATCCGATGGTCTGCGCCTAGGCTAAGGGTTTATGAAAACACGACTTGTTGTTACTCTTATTGTTGTATTTACGAATGGTTTTATTACAATGCTAATTATTTTTAGTGTTTAATCAATGTTGAATTATCTTGTGTTGTGAGACTGTGGTTATGTGCCCACATAAAGTAAATTTTTAAGTAAAAACATCTAAGTTAACTTTATAATTTAAAGAAGAACGGTCATCTGTGACCCAGGCCCGACAGAAACGAGACATATCTCAGTTTTTTTGTCATGTCTTAATTAGTTAAATTATATATTTTTTATATTCGAAATCTATGTATAACACCAAAATATTACCCTTTGTTTTTGTTCAGGCGTTATACAAAAACTAATACAAAATGCCTATTTATCACTAAAATTGGTAAATGTATGTACCTAAATGTCTATTACAGCTGCTATTGAATGTATCTAGGTGACCTGGAGATACACCCTGGATTATACAGGGTGGAAACGAGAAGTTACAAAATCCAAAAATTCAATGTTACCAGCTTCCATAATCTGTAACCTATTATTGGTACCATTTGAAAGAGCTCGTGAAGCACTTTCAGAATCAGTAACTAGTTTTTCGATATCTTGTATAGTTTAGAAATAATCGAGTGAGATCACTTATCGTTCCATTTATTTATTTTTAATTTATTTATTTAATGAGCAACATAATAAGCTTACAGAAAACCCAAAGCGCTTATATGTATAACCACCCTGTATAATCCGGCTGTATCTCCAGGTCACCTAGATACATTCCATAGCAGCTGTAATAGACATTTAGGTACATACATTTACCAATTTTGGTGATAAATAGGCATTTTGTATTAGTTTTTGTATAACGCCTAAACAAAAACAAAGGGTAATATTTTGGTGTTATACATGGATTTCGAATATAAAAAATATATAATTTAACTAATTAAGACATGACAAAAAAACTGAGGTATGTCTCGTTTCTGTCGGGTCTGGGTTTTTTTTTGTATGGGGTGTGACCGTTCTTCTTTGGCATGCAGGTAGATGTTATGACGTAGGCATCCGCTAAGAAAGGATTTTACGAAACCCCACCTCTAAGGGGTTAAAACGGGATCCACGTACGAAGTCGCGGGCGGCCGCTAGTGTTATTATAAATTGTATGCCTATTTTGTGCTCCTGAGGCAAAAGGGCAGCCCATATCCATCTAGCTATCTGGTACTCAGATAAAATTATACCTAAAACTTAGGAAAGGGACGTGTATGGACGGACGCTTTTTCAACGACAACCTTTTACTTTTGTATTTATATTTCATGAATATGTCCTAGTCACGTTCGGCATATTTCTTCTGAATGTTGAGGAATTAGGATAGATGTTAATAAATGGGTATGTCTTCATAGAATACTCATATAGTGAGGCTATTCACCTGCACTTTAATATGCAAAGAAAACAAAACTCTACATTATTCGCAGACTAATTCAGGACAAAAATATTTGCATGGTAATTTATTCCAATCTAAATTAATTGAGGACGTAAATTTTAATTAATTGTCTTCGTACATTGCTTCTATACTAACATTAACCATTCCGCCGTTACTACAAAAGTTGATACCCCGTCTGAAATTCCCTTTTCGGTAATAAGAAAGCGGTGGAATGATGCTTTTAACTAAATGCTCCATTTGCATAATATTAATAAAACCTTATCCAGGAGCTAGTCACTAAAATCTAGACTTGTTTCCAACGAAAATACCATTTCGTTTATCCCGTTAAGCATTGGATTAAACTTTAACAATATTCTCAAAGATTTCGTAAAATTCGTTGTTCGTTTCAAAGGGGATCTTTCTTAAATAAAATTCCCCGAGTCTTTTGTACCGGGAAGAATTAATTAGAGTAGATTTTTCGGATGGTAACATGGTCCGTCGAAATGTTTACGTTCGTATCTGTTGCTTGGAAAAAGATCTTTTGGTGGTATTTTGAGGATAACGTCGCGGGATGATAAAAACCGAATTATATTATCCTGAATGGCCTTCCCATGGCTATTTTTAACATGATTTATCTGGTCTTTTTTTCCTTGTAAAGTTTTTAGGGTTATGTCTCAATGGGCAAGCAAACATGGGAAAGCAATTTTTATAAGTACTTTATACAAATTAAGAATCACAATTACTGTGCCATGCCATATTATTGCAACTTCCTTACAGATTGGATATAAAGCGTAACTGTAATGAAAGCTATCCAACTCAGCCTCAAGTTAAACAGTCCCAGGGGAAACTTAACTGTTCTGGGACTAAATCAATCAATTGCGGAACGGAAGGAGTTTATAGTTTAATATCGACTCCATTGTAAAACAAAACAGAGTAAGTAGCATGCGGGATTGTTCTTTATCAATTGCCTGAATATTATGTTAATTTCTGAAATACTCCGACAATCAAAGGAACCAATAATGTTTAACAAACAAACTTCATTGTTTTAGCAGAACAAGGCAGTTATTTGACCGCAATTGCACCTTATGTTAACCCTTAACTGGTATCGTAAATTGGACATACGTAACTGGTATCGTGGGGGCCGCGCGGCCCCCATACTGTGTTTGCTTCTAGCAATCATGTTTTACCTATAATACTTGAATCAATGCTCATAAATGATNTGAGATCACTTATCGTTCCATATGTATAACCACCCTGTATAATCCGGCTGTATCTCCAGGTCACCTAGATACATTCCATAGCAGCTGTAATAGACATTTAGGTACATACATTTACCAATTTTGGTGATAAATAGGCATTTTGTATTAGTTTTTGTATAACGCCTAAACAAAAACAAAGGGTAATATTTTGGTGTTATACATGGATTTCGAATATAAAAAATATATAATTTAACTAATTAAGACATGACAAAAAAACTGAGGTATGTCTCGTTTCTGTCGGGTCTGGGTTTTTTTTGTATGGGGCGTGACCGTTCTTCTTTTTGACTGAATTTGATTTATGTGTACAACTAAAGCATTGATTGGTTTTAGCTTGCGAGCTTACTGTTGAAAATTACATGTCGGGTGCAAAGACTTCTAAGTTCTACTAGACTAGGTGTCCAGAATAAATAAAAAACAGCGCGTGCGTGTGACCGTTGCCAAAGCAATTTTAAATGTTGCAACTAAATGCACCTAAAGGCAACATTTTGACAACTAATCTTTGCGGACCTTGCGTGCCCCGTGCGGCATATCGACTATATGAATTTTTGGTACTTATCAACATCTAAGGCCCAGAACAGACGGTGAAACGCAACTGCAATGAAACTGCAACTTTCTGATGATTCTGATGAATGAAACTAAAACTGAAAGTTTCAAACTGGTCGCGTCATTTGTGGTCTCTCAACGGACGCTATGGCAGAAACTTAGATGCAACTCAAAAGTAACTAGCAGTTTCGTTTCACCGTCTGTTCTGGGCCTAAGTGAGCGATATCTTAGTTCAAAACAGCCTGTCTAGTAGCACATAAAAGCCTTTGCTCGGGTGCCACAAATTAACCTATGTATGCCATTAATGATAATTATTAATTGCAGAGAAAAGCCGCACTGAAGGCCGCCGGAATCGACCAAAGCGACTCTTCCAATCTTCTCGATGACACCGAGAACGACATCCTGTTCTAGACCCCATATAGTTCACAAATATTCTTTAGTAGACGTGCAGTCAAGTTCCTTCATAACACGCGATGTAGGTCAAGTGTGAAAAAATCGTCGTAACAACGTATGTGAACGAGTACGTTGGCAACTGCATTGTAAGGTCAATGTAGAGTTTTAAGGATATTAAAGGATATTATGCCTCTAATGTATTAAATTGTTATCAACGAATGATGCAGTTGAGTGTGACAGACTTTTCTTGAGTGTTTAACCCCCGTTATTTTCGGTCTCGAAAAATTGCTTAATGAATTTGAGATCCAATTAGTTTACTTGACAACTTGACTGCACGAACGTAGGTATACAGTGTTCAGTAACGTTGTAAATACTGTATTGTTGTCAATGTTAAAGTGTTAAATCGCGCTTGGATATTTAACTTTTCTCTGTATAACGTTTGAAGTGCAATGGTATTATTAACTAAGTATTTTCAATGGACGATGTCCTCGCTTAGGTATGAAAGCATTCCATCATATTTCGTTCTTCAATAGGCGGTAATAGATGAATTCATAGCGCTTTATGATGCATAAGTTCTGAATAAGTACACCCAAAATGTTATAGTTTTTTTGAAATGTTGTTTGGTATATAACAGTATATTTTAAGTAAGCAATCATGTAAATACAAGTTTGTGAAGCGAAATATTAAAAATATTATTATAACTATTGAATCGTTGTTTGATTTAAAAAATATCGTAGTTACCCGATTATAACCCAGAGGTTCTTAGCAATATCGATTCTTTCGGTAAGCCCCAAGAATGGTTTTGGTTTTAAATATTGTTTTGTCTCTACACTACACACACATACATAAGTAGGTAACTATGTCACTCACAAGATTCACAAACAACAACAAAATGTACTAGGAAAGTAGACTTCTGTAAAGCTAGGAAGTGACTTTTTCCAGACAAACTGCATTAAAAATCTAGAGTATTTCAACTGAAAGAACCTACCATTGACAGCATTGATAGGCGTGAATTAGAAGCGCAGGATCCACGAACGAAGTAACGCAGTTAACCCTAGAGTAGTCGCGCCTTTCCGTGAAACGTGAGGGCTCGCGTATGAGCATTTTGCCGCCCAAACATNCTATAATTTTATTATCACTATATCCTTCTTCTGACATGCTACTAATCACTAATTTGGAATCAAAAACTTCGTTCTAGGTATCTTCTATTGTTCTATCACTAATAAACCATTAATACTGCAAAAAAACAAAAAACAAATAAAAATTTCCATGAAAAAAAAACTAACGTAACTGGTATTGTGGGGGCCGCGCGGACCCCAACACGTGCATATCTTCGTCCTGGTGAATGATACAGTGCTGAAACGCCTGCACCAGACGCGAGTAGCGCCGAAATGAGAATACCAAAAATTTTGGCTGCCCACGATGCGTAGCTTCTTAGAAATCAAAGAAAACGTCATGCGTGGGGGCCGCGCGGCCCCCACGATACCAGTTAAGGGTTAAGTGAAACACAGTCTAGAATAGTAATCTTATGTGAGATGCAGTCTAGGATAGTACATATCTACCCTGTAAGCGCCTATTCACTCTCGCCTTGAAAAGGTCCAGATTATAGTGTTCGGGAAATACAGCAGGCAGCGAAATATTCCAGTCCAGTGACAGTCAGATGATTTTTTTAAGTTGCCTTTATGTGACTTATGTCCGTTTTCACCATCAATCCCTAATCTTTAAGTGACCCCTATGTAAACAAAATTCCTGTTATGTTTTATTACCATTAGAAGATTAATTATGTTTTTTATGGGGCAAGAGGATTTATCTTATGATATCTAACTACAAATCCCAATGTTACCTTTATTAAGAGGTAGCTTCTGATACTTATGCCGCTTTTCACCATTAATCCCTAATGTTTAAGTGACCCCTATGGTAACACATAACAGGCATTAATCTTCGAAAGAATCTCATAGTGATCACTCACCTCATAGTAAGCAAGGAAGCCGGACTCCTTGGTGTACTCTCCCGCCTTCCCACCTCCACTGGCTGGGGAGTTCACCTTAAAGTTGTTGGGATTGGACAGGGTGAACGTGCGCCCATACGTCGGCATACCTGAAATTAAAGGGTAACAAGTGAAAAGGGTACAATTTATTCCAGAGTAATGATTTCGTGGAAGGGCTCGGCCGTGTGCTAAAAATACCAGTGAATTTGTGATGTAACAATAATTAAATCAACGTTTTGAGAATAAACTGTGAATTTTGTTATTATTGTATTCTGAATGAAATTCAGTCAAATGCGGTGAAAATTAAACTTTGTTTATATTTCTAGCCATTTTTCTGAGGACTTCTATTTAATCAAAANAGTATTGTAATGACTGTTTTACTTTCTTCATAACTTTAGTATACATTTTCCACTAATGTTAGTGCACCAGCTTCTTAGAAATCCGACCACTTTCTTGTTTTTTCATTTTTTGTATTTTACGTGAATTTTACCGAAAACGACATGAAATAAATTAAGCACTAATAGTAATTATCAATGTTATGACGTCATTAATGTCAAAACAACATTATACGCAATGAAAACTAATAATCTTCCAACTACACTAAAAACCAGACACACAAATTTTACTTACGTCAGTAGTCGCGCAGTGAGCAATTTGCCGCAAAACGTGACATACGTTCAACAATCGTTCTCTATTGCGGTCACCTGCGCACTAAATTTCTTCTAATTTCTAATACATGGAGGTGAAGTATGGGGAGGCAGCTACTGAAACGCTTGTGTTTAACAAACGCATCGTGTAGAAAATAACTCGATTTTTTTGCCGATGGCGGCAAAATGCTCATAGCGCGAGCACTCTAGGGTTAAGACAACTAAATTGACCTCAATTCCGTCCTAACACTTCTAACTTGGCTAAGTGGTGGAAATAAAAACATGTAAAAGCTCACTGAGCTAAGCTAAATTGGTGAAAGATTCTTCCCATTACCACGTAATTAAATCTAGCATTAGCCAGTATCAATTCGTGGTGCGTGGTCTTACCAATAATTAACTATTACAGCAATTAAGATTATAAAATATTTCACCTAGCTAACACGTTTACAGACTGTGAGAGATAATGCCTCGAAAACTAATCGAATGATTATGAGAAATGCATGGACTTCCAAGTTCCATGTTAAAATAATCATTACCTTCGTTCGTCAAATCCAGATCTGGCGAGTAATTAAAAAAGTATCCTCGTCCTTTCTAAATTATCGAATCGATATGCGTGTGAGTGTGATAACGCCACAAATAAAACATCACAATCGTTTCATACGGACTAGAAATGATAAGACTCGAATACGCTTGTACTTGGGCCATTCTTATTCTTACGCATTTTTGTGTGAGATGTAAGAATAGCATATGTTTTTAAAGAAAATCAGTGCACTGTATATTAATTTACTTAGTAAAATACCTCTATTAACTAGGCCCAATATCATTTTTATCATAAAACTATTAGAAGAATATTTAAAAAAAGTTACAAGTCCAAAATGTCACGGACCGTGTAGTGTGAGATTCCCGGATTTGGACATACAATATTTTTTTCTGAAGAGATGTTATGTTATTTTGATAAATATGACAGTAATTATGCAAGATTAATACATGTTATATAAGACTATTAAAAATTTATATCAATAATAATTACCATTTTTGATTTGGAACACCAAACATTGTGTGAGCAGTTTTTGTGTCACAACCACGTGCGCCACTTTAAATATGCGTAACTCGGTAAAAAACTATCTTTGATATTGACATCCATTCCTAAGTTTTTTTAGAACAGTAACATTGTCATCTTATTAGATTTGCAAATGGCTGAACGTAGTGAGTGAGCCGCAAAAAAATATTTCCTATTTATTTGAAAAAAGGGACAACCATAACACGTCCATCCCGTGTACGGTTATTAAAGGTAGGTATCAATGTCACGCTATTGTATAAAACATAATTATGTACCTCATGCAGTATAGTTTCAGATAATTGCACAAGATCTGCTAATTCACAGATAGTTTTTTGGATATATCGGACACGTTCCAAATTGTCACGGCCATGGTATTAAAAATGTGTCACTACCGCAAACTATTTAAGTACATGGTCGTGACATTACAACGCGTGGTTGTGACATTCTATTTTTATTATTTTAATAGTTTTTGTTGTTCTGCTAAATTATTTTGTGTATTGTGCAATTTTTAGGAGTAGCCTTTTAGTAAGTGTACTTATTTTTCGCTAGTATGATTTTCTAGATGCCACGAAGGAAAAATTATTGCACTTTCTCATTTCTGCAGTAATATCAAATTTTACTGAGACAGCTCCCGGTAAAGGCCCTGCAGAGGTGGTCGGAGTTGTTTTAAAAGGAATTGCTATTAACCATATTTTTAGTGGTACGGTGACTATGAAACATGTTTAAGTTGTCAAAACCAACTGTTATGTGAATCCTACAGAAATCTCATTTGATACTCAATTAGGTACCTACTGTGTTTAAGATTTACTAATTTGTTAAGCATATTATCATATCGAAACCATGTAGGTAGCATATCGGAAGCATGATCAGATAGTGCCAATAATAAAAAGTCTATTTTTTTATTATCTAGTAGATATATTAACTACCTGACGGTATTTTTGATCTCAATTTTAATTAAATTTTTGGATGTTCAGAAAAAAGTACATATTACCAAATAACACCTTTGTTGATGAAACGAATTTAGTGTATTTTATTGTTAATCAATTTAAACTATTATGATATAAATTTAACAACATAAACATTATCATTTACAGTAAAAATGTAAAACTGTCACATCCGTGTCATGCAGTGTCACAGCCGTGTTTACGTAGGCTATTTTGTTTCCTTTCCGAGGGCTTTAAGGTTGTCCATATACATCAAAAGTATGCTTTTGGTTTATACTTTCGATACACATCGCAAAAAGTTAAAAAAAAAATCTTTAATTTAAAAAAAAATATTGGCACAAATTTAAGAATGGCCCACTTATATTTTAGGGATAACAATCTTACGGTCTTACAAACACAGACGGCCTCGTTTTGAACATCAACGTGTTTTCGAGGATAGGTAATATTTTTTGCCGCGTTTTTCCAGTAGGCCGAAGTCTACTGCGCATCGGAGCATGGCGCCTATGGACTTGCCAGTCCGGTCGGGGTCGTCGACGACTTTGTAGTGTTTCTTTAGGAAGTTGATCACTCGTCGGGATGTGAGGCCTTGGTGGGAGGGGATCTTGTGGAAGGCCCAGAGCACGATGGCCGCAGGGATGGAACGCCGAAGGCCTACTTTAATCCTGTTGTAGGTCCTCCTACTCTTGAGGGTCGTGGCGGAACAGTAGCTCTCGCACGTGCCCTCGCTACTGGGCGAACGGCATCTCCCATGTTTCATCTTACCGCGGGCCCGCTTAGCAAAAAGTCGGCGTATTCATCGGTACGTTGCTGTTGCTCTTTTTATTTTGAATTTTTGGAATAACTGTTGCTTTCGGTGAGTGACAATTTTGACTTGTTTTCTAAAAGTTGTTGGCTTAGCATGTGTCAGCTGTCATAGGTCACAAACTTCGTGAAGAAAGCGAAGAAATAGACAATGATCATAAAATGTATATCGCAAAACTTTATTCAAATAAATATTTCAGCAATATCTCAGCTTGAGACAGTGATGCTATTTGAATGAGGTGCCGATAACTCATCAGCTGAATTCATCTGGCCAATTTCCCTCCAGCCGACCGCTCGTCGGATAGGTCGCCCGACATATCGATCAGCGGGTAGTGTTGAGCCGAGTAGTATTTTCTATCGAGGGAGCTTTGTAAGAACTTTTTACCCTAAATGAAATTTAATACGCCTGTAATTCTTAGAGGTATGGAAATTATTTTTCAGCCAGTTGCCCAGCTAACAGAGACCTGAGTACCTTTCATTCATTATTATGGGACTGTGTTTGAGTCAAGCAAGTTACATCTCAGGATCTAAGTAGGTACATTAGTAGGTGCTATGGCAAATAAATGTAAATAAATAAATAATTCTGGATTTCCAAGGGCGGTGGTGATCACTTACCATTTAGGCGACCTAGATGTCTTTCTCTATCTTTCAAAGCTGCACTTAAGCAATTTATCCATACAGTAACTTAAAATTATAGGTACCTATGTTTCACTTAGATCGAATAAGCTCTACCCTCAGATCATCAAATTCTATGAATCTGACGCCAGTATTCACAAACGATGCTTGCTTAAGTGAAGGAGCAAATCGAACGCACAACGTTGAATAAAACTGTGCTATTGGTTCGTGTGTCACCCTGTGCGTCCACGCGCACTGTGAGACCTCATAGTAATGTTTGTGAATACGGGCGTTAGTCTCTACCTAAATAGAAAACACCGCTGAAAAGTCGAGTAAAGTAAGCAACAAGGGCATCCCTGCCTCGGCTGGGGTGAATTATTGCATCTTCATTTACTATGACGTGGGGTGTATTCTGCGAGATCAATGTAGAACACGCTTGGCGAGTATCTACCATTGGTATTGCGTTTATCATTTAGTTACTGGCTGTTAATGCAGAATATTGTATTTCTTTGTTGAGAAGCTTTAAATTCCGTCCTCACAGGTTTTACAGTCCATTTATTCATTAACACTTTTACAAAACCAAAAGTCCTACTTAACTATCTGTTCGTTGTGTTTTTAGTTTAGGGCTGATTTTTCAATCGTCGGATAACTTTTAACTGAAGAATAAGTTCAATGGCACATTGACAATATTATTATTGAATAATCAGTCCTTGTACTACTTAATAATCGCGGACAAACTACAGTTTTACAGCAGATAAAACTGAGAACCTCTTTTTTTTAAAGTCATAAGTAATCTGACCAGCTAATAGGCTTTTATTTATTTGTTTTATGATATAACTTTATATTAATGAGCGCAGAAGTTTGTGTCTGTTCCATCAGACAGTGATGCTAGTGCGGTAGTGCTTCACGCAATAGCTTCGTAACTAATTAAAGTTTTAAAACTTTTAGCGAATGAAGTCGCCAGCACTCGCTAGTATTTAAATTACAATCAGTATACACATTGGCTCTACAGTTTATTATTCTAGCAGGAATTCGGGCATAATACACGTTCCCGCCCAAACTGGCGTCCAGACCGCAATCGATCGCAGCTCGCTCGCTATGGGCAAATAGAATCACAGCCAAACCGAATTGTTTAAACGCTGTAGAAAGGTTCCACTTTCTGCTTTGTGATGGATAAAGGTGGACTTTATGACTGAAAACTGAATATTAGCTGAAATGTATCTGCAATGTTTTTTCTTTATCACAAAAGGTGGTTTGGGACTAGCATTGGTCATTCATACTTACTTAGGTAACTTGATTTGAACCGTGTTGTTTAAACGCTGTGCTGTGTCTAACTGAAATCGATGCGTTAACGCAGTAATGTAAAGTTTTCACTTAGGTATTTCAATTTATATTATAACATAGGTTAGGTGAACTTTATCTAGCATGGTCGTTTCATTGAAATACTTAGGTAGGTACTTACTTGCAGAAATGATAGCGTGCAGCGGTGGTGGCAGAATTTTTTATTAACGGTAGGTATACTGCCTGTATTAACTAGATGCTATCCTATTTACAACTGATTTCAGTTAACTTTACATGCCGTCTCGTCCGTAGTATACTAGATCTTTCTATGTCTATTTTGATACAAAAAAGACTTCTTGCAATATGATACCTACCTAAAGCGGTAATAGCAAGGGGTTTCGCGAGGAAATGACGTCCGATCAAACTGAAAGTTTCTCGATTGGAGACTGCGCGCTTATAAAAGCTTCAAAGCTTGCAACTTTAGAGCGAATAAAAGTCTTCATTTTGTTTTTATACCTATAAATTACTATTCCTTGTGGTTATAAATCTTTAACATGATTTACGTAATCTAAATAATTTCATTACCTACATGTAGGTGGTACCTACTTACTATATTTACCAAAATCATGGTAGGAAATAAACCTCTCAAACAATTCTCTCATCGCAAACCTAGGGACGCTTTTTACCCGACTGCATCAGAAGGAGGGTTCTGTTTTTCAATTGTAGTAGTCCAGTTTTGAACTAAAAATTCATCAAAATTAGAAGAACTATGTTACCTACTTATGTAGGCTTACTAACGTTGCCTAATACGTACGGAATATATACGTCCAGAAGATACACATAAAATCATAATGGTGTTTGCTCATGCTTCTATCTCCATCGCCATGAAATGAGTTAATAAATAAGAAAGTTTAATACATCGGTAACATTCCGCGTAGTTAAATCTATTCGAAAATATTACACACCATCATTCAAAGTTTGTCGAGGCGAGCCTGTAATGTGGCGTGTAAATATTCATAAGGACACAATGTAGGAAAGTTTAGAAAGCCCAGGTATTTTTACCAAAAAGTCATTTACACAGCTCATCTTTTGTTTTTCCTATGTACCTACTTCTAAGAATTCATTTCCCATTGTATGTAAAGATGATAGAGAGCCTGCCAATCCTTTTTTCCATATTCCTAATAGATTTAGTTGTTTAAGAGCTTTGCTTTTTCGAACTTTAGTAACTAGTTCAATTAGGTATTTTAGGTTGAATAAAGCCCGTAATATCCAAAAGAAAGTAGAAATTTTATGAACAAAGTTTATACATTGTAAGATTTTTGCTTTTCTGTTTGTTTTCCAATATCAAAACTCTGAGGACATAAAACAAATCTCCTGGGTGTTGTATATCATGTGTTTTATATAATAAAATGACCCTACTGATTCTGGCTGCGTTCATGCTGCATCACCACACACGCTCTGATCGCAGATCATGGAATATGTCTAATTTCCTTGAATTTATATCGCCCCTGCCTCCCAGTTACTGGCAAATATAAATAGGATTTAGCCCCTACATGTAACGTAATACTTATAAACGAGTATTAACTAATAAACCTTTGGGAATGGCTGAGATTCTCGGAAAAATCACTAGGCTTATTGTACATTTTATTTTGGCTTTTATTAGATCAACATTTCTCCGAGTGTGAAGATGTTTGAAGCTCCTTTCATGATTTTTCTTTGATTTCATTACTCGCAAACAAGTTGAAATAAGTTGTTTTCGATTTCACTTAAAATCCATCTAATTTAAATAATTTCTTCAAAATGCCGCCATGCCATTAAGGGACTATTAAGTTCTAGGGTTTATTAAATATTTCCTACCGCACTGCACGTACCTAATCTACAAGCGCATTTCTATGTATAATAACGCTTATAAATTACTGTTTCGACGTTGATTTCATTCTCGATTTGCGATGCATGCCAGGGGCCTATTCTAAAAAACTGCTACGAGTAGTGAAATTTAATGTCTCTCTCATTTGTGCCAGCATTAAGATCGCATTTTATGAGTATTATTAGAGATAAAAAACGAACACGGGTTGGCTAAATAACTTGGTTTAGTATTTACGCAAAAACTCGGTTTATAAACGGCAAAAGATCACGTCTGGTAATCACGTCAAATTTGGTTTCATGACTATTAATAGTCCAGAATGTAACTGAAAAGATATCGATTAGGCAAAATAACGATTACTAATAATCGAGTGCTATGTAATTCGAGTGTCTCTAGTAAAATCGTGCAGAATAGTGGCCCCAGCTGAGCCATTCATCCTGCTACATCGAGCGCGACCAATGACATGCAGTCCAGTCTTCTGCACATACTTTATTATTTATCAGGCCGCCTGTGGCCCATATAGGTACAAACAACGGCGCATCAAGCGACACACTACCTTCTTATGTAAGTTGTAATAGGTGTTATTTTGCAATAAAAATGTGTGGCGTTGCTTGTCTGGGTTGCTATTCGCCACGGAAATACTTAGTACTCCTCGGAAACTGGATATTAATTCTAATATTATGTTACCCAATGTTATTATTCCCGTGTAAGATGTAAGTAGCGTAATGACACTGGTCGGAAACAGCTTTCTAATACAAGCTTTTATTTAGATTTAGGTAGGTAGAGTTAATCAAAACTTACAAGGCGGTTTTGAGTTTGACTCACTTTCCGGATATTTGTAATACAGCTATTGCAATATCATTTAGGAAAATTTTGAATCTTTCGCATTATAATTTTCATACGCAATGGTACATGTAGTTGTAAACGAATTGCTATGTAATTTATTCGCATTATTTTCGAAATTATTTCTATCTAATGGTCGAAAGATATCTAAATCTATTTAATGATGGAGCCAAATAGAAAAGAGTTGCTCAATAATACTTAAAGTGTCTTTATGCCCGTTTTCACCATCAATCCCTAATTTTTAAGTTATCCATATGAAAACAAAATGCCTGTTATGTGTTACCATAGGGGTCACTTAAAAATTAGGTATTGATGGTGAAAATTGGCATAAGTTACCTACTTTAGGTTTTTAAACCTGAAGAACTATGGAATTCAAAAATATTTGCATGAACATAAAACTTTTCTTCTTTTAATATTTGTGCCAAAGTTTGACCTATTTTCGTCAATTTTATTTCCACGCATTGGCAGAGCTTTAAGCTTTCGAGTAATTTCAAGCTTGGGCTAGCTCAAGCTCAGCTTAAGCTTAATGAGGCTGACTTAATTAGCTTGTTAAATGTTAATGAGCCGATGATGACCTTTTGCGTCCCATCAGGTGATACGCATGACATTTCACTTAAAAAAATACCTTTGTCTCTATATGCTTAGGGAATGAGTTTTGTTTACAGTTTTAGGTTACTGTGTAGAACCGACTTCAAGCTGAAAGTTTCATTAGAAGCGCTAATATTCTTTTTTTTTGTAAAAGTATTAACTTTGTCTTCTAGATACGAGTAGGTTTTTGTACAT